GTATAAATTATTAATTTGTTTCCCCGTTATAAAAAAAGCTATATTTTTTGGCTATAACGGTATCCGCGATGAGCCACTATCATAAAAAAGAAGTATAAAAAATGTTTGGTAGCAAAGTTGAATGTGAGAGATGGACTTCGTCAAGAAATACACGGTAACCCTTGGGGCTCACGACAGCCGAAGCGTAAAATACGCGGTACGAGCGTAATTCAGTTGCATATTTTCCGCTTCGATTGTCCGCAGCTTAAAAATTCAAAATAACAGGAATTTATTAATCTGACTAAATCATGAATATATTTGAGTGTCTTTTTTACGGACCGGCCAGTAGGTATTTTATGCTTGTAGCGAATGGTAGTATCATTATAAGACTTTCTACGAAGCCATGATTTGATTACGAGGAAGAGATAAAAGATGGAATACGATGACGATTCTTATTTTTATTAATATTATACATTTTTGTAATTTTCCTCATTGTTATTATAATTACTTCGTTATATAATTTTTGTGTAAGACATTTTCATTTAGGTACGCATTTCACTTCGAAATTTTGATCTTTCCGACAATATGGAGTTCTCAAGCCGCTTAGATTAGACCAATGTGGTGAATTGTATCTCATGAACTGCATGTGGTACGTATTAGTAATGTGTTGATACAAGTACATTTCCAACTGCACCGTTTAAATACATCTAAACAGACACTGTATAAGTAACAGTTGAGCATATGAAAGAGTCCATCCAGGGAAATACGACCTATGTTACCTATTTCTACCACCAAGCAGTACTGTGTTTTTCAGTTTTGTAGGGTAAGCTGGATCTCAGGGTGACGGGCGCGGTGGCAGGGCTCTTCAGATCTTTTTGATTGGCACTGCAAGTGTTATGGGTAATAAGGGGCCACACTTATTAACGCGGCATCGACTTGAGGGCCTATTCAGATATAAGTGATATTCGCTACCTCTGTGGGAAGCGAACAATACCGCTAGGTATCCCACTGGGAATCTGTATGTAATTCCGCGGCTAGAGCGAAACCGAGTTACTGCGGCATACCGCCCCGGTCTATGATATCCTCTTGTTTGCTCTGCAAAATTAGTTTCGCCGGACGGTGCAGTAGCAACGGCAAATGTATTCCCCCCGAACATTCCGCAAGTCAGTAACGATTAGGAAATGAAACTGTTTTTCCGGATTTAAATCGCGTATATTTGTTTGTTTTAATTTATTCTAATTTCTATTATTAATTAATTATAAATTGAACGTAATAAAAATTCATTCAATAAAATAATTTGTAAAACTTAATGTAGCGTAAATTGGAATGTTTTCTTTGTAAAATTAAAAATAAGGTATTTAATTAATAACTATAGTGAAAAAATCGAGTGGTTTGCATCAATATTAGATATAACTGGTTGAAGACTGTACCACCTCAGTCAACCGTGACCATGGGACCTGTAAAGGGCCCGAAAGGTCGGTTTGTTTGAAAAAGCAAATATACGCGTTTTAAATCCGGAAAAACAGTTTCATTTCCTATGTGTAACAATCGCGAAAACCTAAGAACTCGATTAGTAACGACTAGTTGACATAAAGGAAGGACTCATTTGCGATCGTGATGTTGAAGCAGTCAAATGAGAAACTTATTGTTATTACACGTTACGTAGGTACGCTTATAGTGTGGTTTTATTTATTGACGACACAGATTATCTAGACAGGTGCTAATCAAAAAGTTTCGCTCCCCATAGCGGTAGCGTATCTGGTTAGGTTTTAACAGTACGAATAGGAAAACACTCGGATCTCGCTACCCACATCGGTAGCGAATGTCGTGTATATCAGAGGCCAGATTTTTGTTTAGATCTTAATTATAAGTTTTAAACCTTCACGCAAACGCGATAGTTAAGTTTATGTATTTGAAAATTTACACTAAGGCACCCTGAATATGCCTCAATCACAGACCATATCTTTCTTCCGTGGCCTCAATCCTGTTCCGATTCAGGTGTCAATGAGCGTTGTGTCTCCCTAAGCTTTTGGCGATGCGACCTCTTTCATCGTTATCCCACCTTTTTATCACTCTCTTCTCTGGTTCTTGGCTACTTACTTTTGAGATTTTGAATTGCTCTGTCGTCGTCACTCCTTACAAAATTTCCGAAGAGAAAAGACGCGTCCTTCAATCACGTAAACTAATTGCATAAAAAGCAGCAATTTATATAATACACTCTTTTGGGGTAAGTGTCTACTTTTTATTCATCCATAAACATATTCGTATGTAATTTAAGTTAGGGAGTGTTTTATAGTATAATGTCTGTGTTTTATACCATTGTTTTTTATTACAACATTTCCTTTCATTTTCAATACCTCCAATGAATATTAATTTATTTTATACTACTTAATTTTTTGGTCATCTGTGTTTTTACTTTGTTTATTTATTTTTGGCATAGCTACATAATACAAACTGTGAAGATGGTTAAAGTTAACATGCATTATAATAGGAGTAAATTTGTATTCCTATGACAGCCACACACGGCATTTGCAAAATAAATAAGTACTTACAAATTAACAGGTTATTAAACATAATAAAAAAAATATTAAAATTTGCACTTAAAAACAATAGCAAAAAATCATGTTACGCGTATATAAAAACATGAGATTCTTAAATATCCAACATATTCTTCTTACAAATATTTAAATAAGTATAGAGACTATGGGAGAATAAGTCCAAATCTGTAGAAAAGTTGTTACGAGCTCTAAACATGCGAAAAATAGGATCATTATATGAGACATTGTTAGTGGTACATGGCAAAGAAAAAGTTATTTGGGTACGTTTACTGCCAATCTTAAACAAGGCGTGGCTTAAGATCTCACTTGAGTCCATTTCAAAGTTGATAATTTTAAACAGTGTGGAATAGTCCAGCATCACACGGCAGTACTGAAGAGGGCGTACCTTAAAATATTTGAGTCTTGCCTCGTTTGTGTTTTTGTTTCTTTGTTTTTTTTTTTCAAATATTCTGATTTTTGTTTTTTTCCAATTTGGTTTTTGTTCCTTTTTTTCCACAAAATTCAGGAAGCACAATATTACTAAATAACAGACATAACATTGGAGGTATCGTTTTCTTTGTTTCTACCTCTGCAATAAAAACCTTTTTGTGGACCGAATCTTCTCTTTAATTTCACCAAGGCTAAGCTACAAGCTTACACCAGGCGCAGGGCCTGCTCGTTTCGTCACTCGATATCATAAAAAAGTTTTTTTAATAAAGATCTTGTTTCACGACAGTTTTAATCAAAAGCAAATATCAAATTTCAATAGCGACCTCATAGAAGCGTATACATTATATAGTATATACCCTTTAAATGAACAACAAAAAATACATAAAATCCAACAATAGAGCGTAATTGTTTCGTATAATGAAGACAGTTTAAATGAACGAAGTAAACACCATTAATCATCTGGAATAAACAAGAGACTATTGAAGCAGGGAGCAAAGTAGACAAGTGGGCAGCGCTGGGGGATTAATGAAGTCGTATCTACTCAGTTGTTACTATTTATTCTAGTAGATACCTCGTATATCTGTATTTCGTAGATAAGCAAATTGAAATGGTCACACATAACTTATTATTTAATTACTAAAACTAGCCAATA